AAAAAAAAAAAAAAAAAAAAAAAAAAAAAAAAAAAAAAAAAAAAAAAAAGAAAAAGAAGAAGAGATTGCATTAACAAAAGCATGGTAATATGTTTCTGAGGATGCTGAAGTTGGTAACAATCAAAAGGGAGCAGCTATGTGGGATCGTATTTTAGAAGCTTGGAAAGAGAATATTGGGTTACATGCAATACGGCTTGAAATAACAACAGCCTGCAACTCAAATGGTCTAAAATACAATTTGCAGTGAGCAAGTTTCATGCACAGTATGAGCGTTTAGAACGGCATCCACAAAGTGGTTCGAACTCAGATGATCTGGTACGAATGTTGTTTTATAATTTAATTTATCGAGAGAGATTAAATCTTAGACTCATGTCTTAAAATGAATCTACATGAGCAGTCTCATGAATTGCTCTTTTATCACAAACGATATGTGGTCATTTAAACTTAAAGATATGATGAAGATGGTTATTTTGACATTTATTACTCCTAGGACTCGTGGTATTGGTGGATTAATGAAACTAGCCCAAATTTAAATTGTTGTATCCAATTGCATTTAACCATGTCACAGGACAAGTAAATTTTGAGAATTGAAATAAATTCATCTTCTTTTTTCCTTCTCTTGCATTGACTAAGTCTGAAACCATTTTTCTATAAAAGCATTATTCATTCCACTGTTGTAACCATTTTACCATATGAATGTTGTTTTATTATTTAATTTCTAGTTATATATATCAAGGATGACGTTTTTATATTAGTTCATTACAGTTAATCTGTAAAAATCATCATTTAATTTTTAATTAGTATATATTTTTGTTTCTTATGTAGAGAATAAATGCTATGCGGTCGTATGAAGATTTAGTTGGTGCTCCATTTAAATTTATCCATTGTTGGGAAATTTTGATTAAAATCCTAAATGGTGTTCGAAAGAGCTTACAAAGACAGCGGCTACAGGATGTAAACAAGGAGTTGAGCACAACAAAACAACAATGGTCAATCAACTAGAAGGCAACATTAATGATTGTGATGTTCTTTCTGATTGTACCTTAGTTGATGGCATTGAGCGACCGCAAGGAAGAAAAGCCTGTAAAGAGAGGAAGAGAAAACTGAATGAGGAAAAAAGTGTGGTTGATGCATTGAGCAAGTTGCAGTGCATATTAGAGAAACAAATTAACATTAATCAAGCAACTTTGGAGATGAAAAGAGAAAAAGATGCAAAAGAACTACAGCTAAGGGGGGAAGTAATGCAAAAAGAACTAGAATTAAAAGAGAGAGCTCAAAAGTTGAAAGAAAAAATGTTTATAATGAAGTTGAAAGAGCAACAAAGGCAAGAGCAAGACGACTTTATGAACCAAGACTTAAGCAAGTTCTCCCCTATTCGTCGAGCTTATTATGAACTTAGAAAGGCTGAAAGAATTGGAGGATGACGATCCTCGCAACTTTAATCCGGTATGTTGATACTCATTCTTAACATCTTATTTTTCTATTTATATATTTATGCGGTAAAAAGAGTTGATGCATTGGAGGTTACAAAAGTTCGAGAGTGAATTTTCTCACGGGTTTTATTATGGTATGCTTTATTATGTGGCTTGACTTTATTTGGTGTCGTTTAAACTATATATTGATGCAATGATTTTTTTTTTTTTTTTTTGATATTTTCAGGACTTATGATGAGCACTTGGAGTTTGGGATGACTTTTGTCTAAAACCTTGTAGTTTGCTAAGTTTAATTACTAGGGCCTTGAAGTATTTGTTATTTGTATTTTTTCTTATTTTTTTACGTTTATTTGGTTTGTTCAATACTCAGTTGGGGATGATAAGTTGTTATTTGATTTTGTTTATCATGATTTCATTGTATGGAGTACCAGTTATTGCACACTTTCACTATATAATATATTTGGCAACTAGCAAGATCTGCCAATCTTTATTCAAATTACCATAACTCTCTCTACACTTAATATTTTTTAATTCCACCCAAGAGCACGTGGGTGAGATGGTTGGGGTCTCTCCCAGCTTAACCAGAGGTCTCGAGTTCGAGCCCTGAGAATGCAGCTGTGTTAAAACTCTTGAGGTAGAGCTTTGCCGCCCTTGTGGTCCTACCCGGCTCGATTCCGGATTAGTCGGTCCCCTAGGGGATTCGGAAACCGGAAGGTTCATTATACCAAAAAAAAAATATATTTTTTAATTCCGTTTTTTTTGTTGGAAAGTAGACTCTTGTGACTTTTCAATGGTATATCATATGTTTTATAGTTAGCAACCAATAAATTCAGTTTATTCCTTAAAACAGATGGTTAAACGTGAATTTTTTCTGTCAATTATTTTTTCAGCAAATAGTAAAATTTTGCCAACCTTTATTCAAATGACCATAACTCTCTCTATACTTAATATTTTCTACTTTTGTTTTTTTTTGTTGGAAACTAGACTCTTTTGGCTTTCCAATGGTATAGCATATACCATATAGTTCGCAACCAATAAAATCAGTTTATTCCTTAAAACTGACGGTTAAACGTGAACATTTTTTGTCAATTATTTTTCCAGCAACTAGTAAGATTCTGCCGAGCTTTATTCAAACTACCATAACTCTCTCTATACTTCATATTTTTTACTTCTGTTTTTTTTGTTGGAAACTAGACTCTTCTGGATTTCCAATGGTATAGCATATACCATATAGTTCACAACCAATAAAATCAGTTTATTCGTTAAAATTGGCAGTTAAACATGAACATTTTTTGTCAATTATTTTTCTAGCAACTAGTAAGATTTTGTCAAGCTTTATCAAACGACCATAATTCTCTCTATACTTAAATATTTTTTACTTCCGTTATTTTTGTTGGAAACTAGACTCTTTTGGTTCTCCAATGGTATATCATATGTTTTATACTTGAAGAAAGTAAATATTTTAAAAGCGAAAAATTCATAAATAAAATATCAATCTATTGTTTTATGAAAAATAATAAACTCAAGGATTGTCATCCCAAAAGATAAATATTATGCAAATGATCCCAATAAAAGAACAAAATCAAGCAACTTGATGGCCACCGTAAAATTCTCATATATGATTAATAAGATCAATCTTCAAATCCTTGTGCACCCTTTTGTCTTGTATTTGTTTCATGCGACCATTCATCCTTTTCATAAGAAAAATAAAATCATGTTCTGGAGTAACATTCTCATCCGCTTCATCGCCATGAAGTTGCCAACTTTCGGGATTCATGCCTTGACTATGTTCGGACTCAATAATCATATTGTGTAATATTATACACATCTTCATTATTTTTCTCAAATCTTTTGCATTCCACATACGAGCTGGTCCTTTGACAATATGTCATCGGCTTTGTAGCACTCCAAAAGCTCGTTCCACATCTTTTCGTACGGCTTCTTGATGCTTTGCAAATATTTTTTATTTCAATGATGTTGGGTGAGATATTGTTTGAATGAGTGTGGCATATTGTGGATAAATTCCATCAGATAAATAATATCCCATATTATAATGATGATCTTGCACTACAAAATCACATTGTGGCGCAGCATCATTAACAATATCATCGAATAACGGAGACCTATCCAGGACATTAAGATCATTATTTGTACTAGCCATGCCAAAAAATGCATGCCAAATCCATAGATTCTTTGAGGCTACAATCTCTAAGATAAGGGTCGGAACTCTTTTGAAGCCATTTGTATGTGTCCCATGCCAAGCCGTGGGACAATTTTTCCAATGTCAGTGCATACAATCAAGACTACCAAGCATACCAGGAAATCTCGAGCCTCACCTTCTTTTTAACAAGCTTTCAACATCAAATTTATTAGGCCTTCTTAAATATTTTTCTTCATATATTCCAATGATAGCATCACAAAAACGTTTTAGACTTTCAATCTCCGTACTTTCACCAATTTGTACATATTCATCAAGGAGATTGGCAGCACAACCATACGCAAGCATATGTACAGCTGCAATCATTTTTTGTAAAGGACTCAAACCACGTTTTCCCACCGCATCAAATTTTTGTGTAAAATAGTTATCATAATTTTCAATCGCTTCTAAAATACTTTTGAATAACTCAATATCCATTCGAAATCGACGTCGGAAATGTTCAGGTGTATATTTAGCATTCTCACCTTTGAAGTAGTCATTGAGAATAAGCTCATGACGTTGTTCCCTATCACGACGAATGTAGCGTCAACTGCTTTCTGTTCCACCATGAGGACGGCTCGTGTTTGTTAATACTGGGAACATTATCACAGGAATATGAACCGAACATGTTTGAATGACATCAAAACTCTTAAATAAAATATCATCTTCAGATGACTCATCTAATAATTGTTTGGTAAGTGAAAGTTCGTCATCGCTTAATGTGCTACAAGAATCTAATTCGTCGTAAATTGAAATCATTAAAACCTGCATTACAATTGTACATGTCGTTAAATAAATTATAATACAATAATAACAGTAACAATGAATTAGAAATAATTAATAGGCCAAAGAAATATGTGCTCTTGTGTTTAGCATAAAATTTCTCAAATATGTAGATTTGATCCTACAGGGCACAACAAAAAGTTTTTTATTGAATTAAAAATTCAATAATGTGGAGTGAACAAAAATTGTGATGGCATGCATTCATGATTTTAATTTAATTAAATAAATGAATTAAGAAGAAAGAAAACAGAAAATTGATTAAATGAATTACCTTGAAATTGGAAGTAATCACAAGTTAAAAATAAAGCTCTATTCTTTTATTAACATGGTATATTTATAATGCTAGATGCAAAACAAACTTCCTATTTTTGTGAATCTTTTTCTTTTTTTTTTTTTTTGAAAAATNTGAGATAATATAGTAAAACCAAGTCAATCAATTCTATCACAATGGTTGTTGCAACCGAGCCAAAATTTAGTTATTTGGTTGTTTACATAGTAAGACATTGAATGAAAAAATAATGCATTGGAAGATACATTTAGTGTGGACGTTTTTTAGTCTCTTTTTTAATTGACAGTTCCATTCATTTTATGCCATGTGGCCACTATTTTTAAGTGTGGACATTTCCTGATTGAAGATGCTTTAAAAGGCACCAGTCTTTTCTGTTATTTGCAATGGGGTATTATGCAAATCGAAAAGGCACCGCCTTTTTGTTTTGTAACATTATTATACAAATTGAGAAAAACACTACTTAATTTGTTATTTGTAACATTATTATGCAAATGACTGACAATGAACAGTATTCTGCAAAAGCATCACTTAATTTGTTATTTGTAACATTATTACGCATATGATAATGAACAGTATTATGCAAATCGAATTATGAAGGATTTTCTTTTAGCATAATATATTTTTATTATGACAGAGAGCTTTTTTCCAAAAGTATATTTAACTTTTTGGAAATTTATTAGTGTTCGTATGACCAGAAAACATTGAAAAAATACAGGGGCAAACTCGTAATTCGAAATCAAAAACTCTGTCGCCCATTCGTATGGCTATTTCACGTAAACTAGCACACTCCAAACTGACACACTCTCGACCGTTGGCAACGCCGAGCTTTTTTCCGCCTCCGTCAATTCGCCCCCATAATTCCCGCCGTCGGAAAATACCAATTAGGGTTCCTCCACCATCTTCCACCAGATCAGATTAATCGGCATCGAGTTTTTCAGCGGTATAAAGCTTTTGTTTCCCTTTTTTTTTCGTGTCTGTTGCAAGTTCAAGGAGATGAAGGTAACGAGATTTCAGGGATAAGAGAGAGGATTTCATTTTTTTGTTGTTGCCACTGTCCTTTATCGGTGAATTAAATCGTTTGGATTTGATTATAAACTCTGCTTTTTCCAGGTTTTTGCTGGCTCGCAAACATTTCTGAGCTAATAAATGCCATTTTTTTTTATCTTTTGTGATGTCAATGAAGCATTTCTAACTCTAAGGGGGTGTTTAAGTGTGTATGGGTACCACTAGGGCTGCAAACGAGCCGAGCCGAGTCGAACATTGGCCTTCTCGAGCAGGATTGAATTTTTTTTTTTAGCTGCTCGAGCTCGTCGAGCTCGATTTTTTAGGCTCGAGCTCGACTCGATAAGAAAATACAATAGCTTGAGCTCGGCTCGAGCTCGACTCGAATTCAAAATTCTCGACTCTGCTCGAGTTCGATTCTGAAATTTTCAAATAATTTTGTCAAATTATATATATAGGAGAGGTATTTTAGTAATTTACCATATATCTCGAGTCGCTCGCGAGCCGCTCGACAATGTAAAATTGGGGCTCGAGCTCGACTCGAGTTCGTACTCGAGCCGAGCTTTGACTCGAGCGCTCGCGAGCGGCTCGTGAGCCGCTCAACTCGTGTGCAACCCTAACACTTTGCTTTTTTTCCTCAATAAATTTAGTACTAAATCAAAGATCTGATTTATATCTTTTATTCCAAATCACATATGTGGAGAACAATGAAAATTTTATGTAAAAATGCTGTAGCACATTTGTAGTGCCCAGTTCGATTTATAGAATTTCTCGGATTTATTTTATATATCGGCATTTATTTTATTTTCTATGCTTTATTTATGTGCATATTATTTATATTGTTAATAGTACTTGAATTATATATTTAAGTGTTTACTCGATTTTATCTTAAATAGTTCGTCTTTCGAAATATTTTGATTTAATCGCGTAGAAGAACCGTTTGACCGTATTGACCCGTTTTTGGAGCTGTATGTCTGAACCTTGGTTTTTGCAATTCCGACCCATTTTGTTAATTAAAAAAACCAGCCCAATCCATGTTCAGGACCGGCCACTTGTGGTGCAATTGGAGGAAATTGTGAATTCATTTTAATATTCCTTTCAAAATTTCAAATTGTGAGCTTATTTGGGAAGGATTTATTCCAGCCCTTAAAATTCCCTCATTGTCCGGCTACTCACCCCTTTATTTGGCTTTTATTGAAAATTTTATGGTAAGCCATTACTTCCTTGGATTTACTAGGGATTTGAGAGATATCTCTCTTCATTTTTTGCCTTCATCACACGCTCCTCTTCATATTTCAGAACAATTCATACTGCAACTTTTACTCTCTCAAAACACCCTCTCATCTATCTCGCATATGTTCTAAACCAGAGAAAAAGAATTTTAAATCCATCGCCATTATCTATCAAATTCCCCATCATCTCGCTCGCGAACAAAAGCCCAGGCCAACATCTGCCAATCCACTCTCGAGCAGGTCTGTCACACCCTCGGCCAACCCATCCTTGCCCCATGTTCGCCAGAGATCCACCAAGACCGCCGTTCACATGCCACGCGAGACGAGCCTCTCCTTGCTGGCCCGATTTTCAGATTAGTGTGTAAATTCCCGGAGACGGGTAATCTATTTCGAATCCCTTTTCGTGCTCGTATTTATTTTTCCGTGTGTTATGTCGTGCTCGTTGGATCATTTCTCGTCACTCGCTTAGATTTTGATGTCGTTTCGTATATTTGTTCGTTGTGTGATTATTCGAGTTTTGACGTGGACATTCGGAACTCTCAATTTCGAAAATCGAGTCTCTTTATTGACTGCTGCGATTATGCCATAATATTTAGAGCCTCGTTTATGTTGTTGTCGTCCATTTGTTTCGAGCCTTAAGTCGTCGTTTGTCGTTTCGTTTTTCGTCCAAAACCCCAGTTTTTATAAAAATTTTCTGGACTCTGAAATTATAATTACGTATATTGATGCTGAACATGGAACCCCGGTTGCCGAGGAATCGATCACCGCCAAATCGTCACTTTCAGCCCCTGTTTTGCATTTTACTTTTATTTTTTTTCCTTCTTCGCAGCATCCGTTCATAGCAGGCCTTGTTATATTTTTTTATTTAAAACCGCGGCCCAGAAATTTTCCGACCCACCAGCCTTATATTTTTATGCTCTCCCAGCGGCCCAATCGTGTTGGCGGCCCAATTCAAGTGGAAGAAGGCGCGCGGGCCGCCTTGGCCCGCTCTAGCCCGCGCGCGGCCCGACTCTTGACAGCAGCATCGGGCTGCGCCTTGGCCCGCGAGCCCGCGTTCCGGCCCGCTGAAGCCCGAGTGAATTCACCCTTCCCAGCCGTGGTGAGGGGTCCATTTAAGGCTTGTTTTTCGGCCTAATTGTGCATGGAAGGCCCCTTTCATGGCAGCATTTGGTCCATTGCGTAGACAGGCAGCCCAATTCGAATTTTCAGCCTTTTTAAGTGCCAGAAGCCCATTTTTCGTGCCTAAATTTTGATAATGAGATAAACTCAAGAATAATTATTTTAAGCCCCGAGACTCCATTTTCACTCTCCGAGTCTTATTCTTCGAAAATTTGAGAGTTCCAAGTATACAAAAAATCCGATAAAATCTCTTAATCATTATTTTGATTAAGTGTGATTTCTCTAATGATTTTCTAGTATCAAGATAAAGTATTTATGAAATTATCTTGATTAAATGTAGGTATCTGAAGATTCGAGCCCTCAACCTACTCTGCTGATTGAGCAACCTCTTACTTTATTGACCAGGTGGGCTTATTAAATTTCTATGCCTTAAATTCTTTATAATTGTTGGATGGCACGATTAATGTATGCGTGTGAACCATGTAACCTTCGATGTGTGTGATCTCGACCTTCGAAACGGTTATCCCCGTTGTCGTGTGCGGTTTCGGCCTTCGATGGTGCCTAATGATAGGCAGTCTCCCTTAGCCTAATGATAGGCCATGTCGTTGTATGCGGTATCGACCTTCGGCATGTAATCCCATTGTTGTGTGCTGTATCGACCTTCAGTGGCTTTTATAGATGTGCACATGATTAGGAGATGTGATAATATGATTGATTCATGTTCATGCTGCGACCATACTATATGTCATTATATTTGATTTATAGGCATAGTAGTGAGCTAGTGGTTTGCTCACTCCCATGTCCCCTCCTATTTATGCTTCCGCTTTATTATGAAATTGTTTTGGGATTTTCAAACTTGATGATGTTTTCGAAACTTATGATTATATGTTGAACCTAGTTTTGAACCTGATGATTATGTTATGGTTTATTATGATTAAAATGATTGTGTTATGATGAAATGATTATGATATCGTATGATTTGGGTAATGAGATCCTATGTGAAATTTGGTAATGAATTCCCGTTAGTTCAGATATGACTTGAACTGCGTATGTGAAATGAATGAGCAACGCCTAAATATGTTTAAAATCAAAAAATAATTTTTGAAAATTTAACTGTGATTTTTGGATAAGCTCGGAATTATTCTTTAAAAATCAACGAGTCGTTACAACATTGGTGCTAGTTCTTGTCACTTATCAGGTATTAGGTATAGATTATTGTGACAATGCATTTCTCTAGAGTATTTATGCTGTATGATCTGTTGGATGCTTATAGTTGACTGCATTTTCTATTAGTAGGATTATTAGCTCGATGAACGAGTATCAGGAAATCAGGAGACCGATTTTCTAGCCTCTTGGTAATTTATTTTAAGTTTCATCAACAAAATTGAACTTATATTTTCATCGTGCTTGCCAGGCAAGAGTTTCAGGAGGATTGTTCTACTTAACTGAAACTAGAAGGTACTTGGATTCATTGTTTACTTTTTGCTAGTTTTCGATATATGCTCGTGCCCATTACTTTCTCTTTGTATCTCAATGTAAAAAACAGTATCTCATGTACTAACTTAAGTTTAAGTGCAGGTGATAGGTAGACTTCCACCAGAATATGGCTAATCTTCAAGATATTGCAACATCAGCTTACATCAATCTCATATCCGTATTGGCATTTCTTATGGGCTTTGCATTTTTACGGCTCCAACCAGCTAACGATAGAGTTTACTTTGCAAAATGGTATAAAGAGGGAAAAAGATCAAGCCCCAAAAGCTCAGGGACTTCATGGAGGAAATTCATCAATCTAAATTTCAGAACTTATTTAATGTTTTGGAATTGGATGCCTGAAGCTTTGAGAATGCCAGAACATGAGCTGATAGACCATGCAGGGCTTGATTCTGTCGCATATATGAGAATTTACCTTCTCGGGTGAGCTTAACGGTTTACTGCTCCTAGCTCTATAATGCTAGAAACTGAAGATATATTTTTCAATGCTAAGCAAACCATTTTCTTTTGAATTTCTTGAACTATGCGTGCAAATTGTGTTTCTTATCTTCAATAGGCTACACTGATAATAACCTTGAATGCAGATTGAAAGTCTTTGTCCCTATATCAATACTTGCTTTTGCAGTATTGGTCCCTGTGAACATGACCAGTGAAACATTAGACAGCATATCCGATTTGACTTACAGTGATATTGACAAGCTTTCAATATCGAATATTCCTTCAGGATCCTTAAGGTGGGTACTGGGTTCTCTTTGGTCCTCTTACTGTGATGCTTTCCAAAGGTAAATAAGTTCTCAGCTGTCTCTCTAAATGGGGATATGCTTGCAAATGAGAACAATACCTGTTTTGCTTTCATGACAGAACATAATCACGACTAATCAATGCCTTGTCCATATTATTTGTAATGTTCATTGATGGTTAAAGTACATTTTCTTAAATTCATCGTTAATCATTCATTTAAAAATTAAGAAAACGCTAGACTTAGAGGCAACTTTGCTGTCCCCTGTAAAAATGTATTGATCTGTGCTGCATCATTGCAAAGATCAATATCCTTGTGCCACCGAACATTATGGGTACATTTGCCAATTGCTTTCATGTTAACCATGTAGCGTCAAATTTTCAAATTCATTTGTTAAAACTCCATTTTTCCCATGGTCTCCCTTAATTCTTAGTATTGAGTGAAAAATGTAAAAATATCTTTTGAATTCATAATGTTTGTAACAACTTTTTTCACTTGAAGCCAACAGTCATTTTCTCGTTCAGGTTATTAGCGCACATAATAATGGCATATGTGGTCACATTTTGGACATGCTATGTCCTACACAAAGAATACAAGTTCATAGCTACCAAGAGGTTGCAATACATAGCTGCTGCAAAGCGTCGGCCTGACCAATTCACTGTGAGTATGTAAAAGCGTTATGTTTCTATCTTATGTCCAATGCCTAATCAGCTGCTTGTATGTGCATGCTTGCGAACACCAACATTTGCTACTTCATCACTGCCTCTTTTCAGTCCCCATTTTCTCAAAATTCATCACTATTTCGTTTTCAGGTCCTTGTGCGAAATATTCCACCGGATGAGGATGAATCAGTCAGCGAACTCGTGGAGCATTTCTTTTGTGTAAATCATTCTGATCATTATCTCACACATCAGGTTTGCTTTTATGCTACTTGTGATAAATGATGTATCGATACTTTTAACTTCTAAAAGTTGAATCTTATGCATGTTATTCGACGATGGCAAGCTTTATTTAGTTTATGAAACCGGAGTGCAGGTCGTATATAATGGGAACAGACTTGCGAAATTGGTGTCAAAGAAGAAGAGATTGAGGAATTGGCTCACTTACTATGAGACACTGTTGGAGAGAAACCCTATGAAGAGACCAAGAATAAAGGTATCTCTATTTATTGTCTGACTTTTCTAAAGGTGTTTGATGCTAAAATTGATTATGAATAATTATATTGTTCTTGAACATAACCTCCACATCAGTCAAAATGTGGATTATCATCTGATTTTCTCCAAGTGCATAGACAGGGTTTTGGGGCCTTTTTGGGAAGTGTGTGGATGCCGTTGACTACTATAAAGCAAAACTAGAGCATATAGTTGAAGAAGTAAGCCTGTTATGACACTATTCATAATTTTGTTAATCTTCTCTTGTTTCGAACATATAGACAAACCTATTTAAGCCAATTGCTCCTTTTCCATTTTATCCGTTCATGTCTATGTTGAACTTTTGCTTGATGCTTAGTTATGTGCTAATTGATATTTTAAACTAATGGAGCTACTGTGAGGTGTTGCAAATAGTTATCGTAATCTTTCCCTCTTTTTTCTCTGTTCTCTTTTAGGAATATTCAGAAAAGGATAAAATCATGAAGGACCCGAATGCCATAGTCCCAGCAGCATTTGTTTCCTTCAGGTCTCGTTGGGGGGCTGCTGTATGTGCTCAAACACAACAATCAGATGACCCAACTCTGTGGCTTACAGAATGGGCTCCCGAACCGCGTGACGTTTACTGGGACCATCTCTCGATACCATATGTTCGACTCTCGGCCAATAGACTGATAATAACAGTCTCCATGTTCTTCCTCACATTCTTCTTCATGATCCCTATTGCATTTGTGCAATCGCTCGCGAGCATTGATGGCATGCAAAAAGTTTTTGTGTTCTTGAGACCACTATTTAGAAAGTAAGATATTGAATTTGCATAATCGTCTGTTATTGTAATACTCTTCGTGCTGATAGATCTGGATGTACCAAATAAATTGAAATCTTGGCTTGATTTTTGTTGAGAATAACTTTGATTTAGGCTCTTTGAAAAACTAGTCTCAAACTATTAGTATGATGCAAAAAAATCTATTAGTATGATGCAAAAAATCGCTCTTTGATTTAGGCTCTTAGAAATCTATTAGTATGATGCAAAAAAATCAGAAAAGTCACGTTCTATGTTTGAGAACTTGATGGGGAAATATTCCGAGTGACAGTTTTAGTTTAGTAGATTAATTATAGTAAATCATGGAGCTCTTCATTGTCATTATCACCCATTCCAACTCTCACAATGATGTAAATCAATTTTTTGCCTTCAATATCACGCTCTATATATTTTCTCTCACTTTATCTGGATGATGATTTGGACATTGTACATATACTCGAGCATCAATTCATTGATTATGTGTGTGTGTGTGTGTGTGTGTGTCTCTGTATTAGGAAGCGTGTCAAGGCTGTTGTTCAAGGTTATCTTCCTGGAATTGCACTAAAGATATTTACGGCTGCTCTTCCAACAATTCTCATGATAATGTCCAAAATAGAAGGTCATTCATCTCATTCAGCAATGGACAGAAGAACAGCTGGAAAGTTCCATTTTTTTATACTCGTCAATATCTTTTTCGGAAGTATCATCACAGGGGCTGCATTTCAGCAGCTTGATAAGTTTCTTCATCAGCCCCCATCAGAGTATGTTGCATTATTTTGCTTCTTAATCAGCTCGCTTGCATGCTAGTTAGGCAATAACTGCATAAGTTATAATCTAGAGACTACAAGGTTACTTTTACAATCATCTGCCATAATCTGTTGACTTTAAACGGAGTATTTTAACCCATTTTGTACTTACGGGATTTTGTTTCTTCATATATACCTAGACTGCATTGTGCAAAACTCTTTATTATTTTCTTTAGTTCATCCATTGATATGCAGGTATTTCCATCAACAAGATATTTCTGGTAAAAATCCTAAGAAATGCTCTTCTTGCTTATCTCAATGTTATCTGCTACTTTTGTTTTGGTCAGTGTGGAACTGTAACAACCTGCAGTTTGTGCATGAAATATTGATTAGTTGGTAAATATTCAAAATAGTATGCAGGCATTATTTTCCTTTATTTCTTACTGGATTTTTTAATTCAATATTTTATTGATAAGTTCCAAGAACCATATCAACATTATTAATCTTATGCACATATTGTAAGTTGACCTTGGTTATATAATCGACCAAAACACACATGTTTCTTCTGTTTGGTCTGAAATCTTGGAAACCTTAATCGTATATGTAATCTTGTACTATTGTTCCCATAAATACCTCCATTCCTGTCCGAAAATTTTAATCCATAGGACCATTTTATTTTATTTTCAAAGAATGTTGTGCATGTAAAAAGAAAACGTATAATTTGACTTTCTTCTATCTTGTAGGATACCGAAAACTGTGGGTGTTGCCATACCAATGAAGGCCACTTTTTTTATCACCTACATCATGGTTGATGGTTGGACAGGTGTTGCTTCAGAGGTCATTAGACTCGTCCCACTAATCAAATTCCACATTAAAAACACATTTTTTGTTAGGACGGATTGGGACAAGGAACTAGCAATGGAACCCGGAGCTTTAGATTTTACCACGGGAGAACCTCAAATACAGCTATACTTCTTGCTTGGGCTCGTTTATTCAGTAGTCACTCCTTTAATCTTGCCTTTCATCGTTGTCTTCTTCGCCTTTTCCTATGTGATCTATCGCCATCAGGTATGCTGCTACATGAACCAACTTATCAGCTAATTATGAAAAACACCCTTGAGATTTGGTTTATATGTAAATTAAAAACTGAACTTCAACATTTTGAGTACCCGAGTGATATATACCTCTGACAGGTAGTTTTTTTTATCAAAAAATATAAATACCAAAATGCACGGGTAATTGTATATTTTTCAGATAAATATTTCTTTAATAAGGTCGAACACTTCGGAATGTAACCCGAGAACTGAATACAAGTATCTCTGTTGTTTATTTATAAGACATAAAAAATGTCGCCATTTTCGTGCCTGAGTTGGAAGACATATGTACTTATGCATTGGGTGTTTATATGTAGATCATCAACGTATATAATCAGAAATACGAGAGTGGGGCCCGGTTTTGGCCTGATGTGCATCGTCGTTTAATTATAGGTCTAGTGTTGTCACAACTACTGCTGATGGGGCTACTGGGCACAATGAATGCTGCCAAATCAACTCCTCTGTTACTTATACTCACTGTCTTGACCATATGGTTTCATCAATATTGCAAGGGCCGATTTGAGCCAGCATTCATGAAGTTCCCTCTTCGGGTTAGTGCAAGCCCTTTAAGCTGAATTTCCATTTCCTTCTATCTAACTCATCCATTCATATTATAGAAATCTATTTTGGGATCGATCAACAAATGTGTTGTAATGCTTAGATTTGGGAGACCTGTTTACAAGAATTCTCAGCTTTTTGGCTGAAAATTCAAAAGAAACATTTTGCCGCTGTTTTTAAATGCCAACTTCTTCATCTAAAATCTACATAAATTAGCTAGGACCTTGATTTATGTCGAAAATTCAATTTAACATTCGCCAAATCACTTTTAATGCATGATGAATTACTCCTCAAAATAACTGCATAAGATTTAGCAAACACTTCCGTTTGATACTTAAAGTATGTTAAATGCAAATGTTTAGCATTACATGATTTTACATGTGACAAAACAGGAAGCAACGAGGAAAGACACAATCGAAAGGACTAATGAGCCGAAATTAGACCTAAAAGCTTACCTTCAGAATGCGTACGTTCATCCTGCTATGAAAGATATGGAGATGGACCAACCGAAAGTCGTGGATGATGAGGAGATTAATCCACTTGTGTCGACAAAGAGAGGTTCGGATAGGATTAGTGTGTCTAGTTCGGGTAGTTTCACGAACGAAGTTATTGAGGAAATGATTTCATACTTGACTCCTAATCATTTTCAGGCCTAATGCAAAATAGAATGTCAGTGAAATATTATATGGTATTATTAGGAGTTTGGAACCTAGGAATTATCAGTATAGGGATGCTATTGATGGTTGTATTAGTGTACTCCAAAGGTGCAGGAGGATTCAGGTGAAGTGATATCCAGTGTTCTATAGTTTATTACATCAGCTCAAAGTTGATTTTTTTTTTTTTTTAAGTACTGCATTTATATTTACTTGATAAAGTGCAAAGGATTTTGGGTGCTATAGTTGCCATTTAGATGCTATTCATTTTGATGTTCCTCAAATTTATCATAGGATATAATATAAGAAAATTCAACCGGCATCTCAAGTAAATACTTAAATTAATCGATTTCATGATCAGAAATATCAAATATGTAAGCAAACTTAATTAAATCACATACAATTTCAAACAAAAGTAAATTGAAAAAAAAAAATGGTTGGAAAATGTACACTTTCATTTGTATTATTCATTCCCCTTGATATAGATTAATGGTTTCTTCAATCGCCTATTTTTTATCAACTAAAGTCATTAATTTACACTCCTTTCCGTATAGGAAGAACATAGGATTCTAGTTTTGAAAAAAGATTAAAAAAATTATTTATTTCTCATAAGATATTCATCCTCGTACAAAAACTTGATGTCCAAATTACGGAACAGTTGGTCATATACAAGCTATAAAATATAAATTATCAAAAATCATTTTGGTTGGTAAATAAATCATCACACCAAACCAATGAGGCCCACATATGTAATTATTTTTAACCCAAAAAAAATATTTTCCAAAATTACAACTAACAAAAAAAAAATATATTTATTATGAAACACATCATAATAGTTTATATATTATTATTTTTTTTAATTATGAATTTTCATATTATATATATTAATAAATACGTCTACGTTGGCCAGAAGTGCAATGCCTCACCAGCCCACCGTATGAACAGCCAAATTACCTCAATTTTGCTAAGGAGCCATCCGATGACACGATTTATGTAGCCATCTACACTTATTCACAAATAGTGTATTGACATGTGCCCGACAATATAATAAACTTTGGACAGGTGTCAATACATTAAGTGATGGATGATTTCATAAGAAAACCATATGATGGCTCCATAGAATTTTTGCAAATCACCTTTTCAATTACTTAGGGTGCACTTGTTTGTCAAATAATTCATTCAAAATAACTTATTTTGGTTAATCATAGTTAATTTTGAAAAAGGTGGTATGATTAGTTATTAGTGGAATTTTAAGAATGCACTAAAATAATATTTAAAATAAAATAATTAAAATTAATTTGATGTAAAAATAGGAGATAAATGATTGGAAATGATTGATAGTTAAAATTATGTGAGTGAATGAATAGTGAATTAGAGTTATGTGATATGTAATAATGATTGGTTTGTATAATTTAATTATATGAATAATATTAAGGATAGTGAGGTTGAGTTAAAGTTGAGTTAGATTTTGAGTATGAAATAAATGTGAGTAAATTAATTTGTAAACAAGCAAACCCTTAATATTTGCATGGATTTCAGACGAAAAAACCATATACGATATCTCATTAAATCTCATCTTCAGACTTAAGATTTCATAAAATTTCTCCTAAATTTGAAATTCTTAAAAAGTCTCAAATTTCAACCCCTATAAAAATGTCACTTAAAATCCCAAATAATTACACTCTTATATTCGTAAATACGAATGAATGAATACAACACCCATTCATCTCAAACTCTGCTACTAAATCATTTCATTGACTCTTTAATATATGTTAATTTTCTTGAACTAGCCCATTTGATACTTAGCCGCACTATTACTTTTTCTTTTTCATGCGAGTTGTACCTTTTCAGAAAGTCCCTCTCTTATTTGCAGTTGTCTAGTTCCATTTCCATGGATTTTACCATTCTCGTTTTAATCGATCGTTTTATTTCTGATTCTTGATATCTCCTTTAGAGCGTCTCTTTGGGTTTCTTCGTTTCTTTTGAGCTTTTGTGCTCTTGGGGAGGGTTTGTTGTTTAAGGGTTTGGGTTTTTTTTGGATGTTTAACCTAGGTTGTCTTTGTTTTCCTGCATGGTTGTTTGATTCTTGGTTTTCTGTGGTTCCAATGAGATTCAGGGGTTTTTAACCTTATGGAGCAAGATATTATCAACAAGTTAAATAGGTTCGAGTTGTCAGAGAAGGAGAAAACAGGAATTACGCTTTCAGAATCAGATATTGAGCTGAGACTTCACGAATGTGAGCTTAGTTTGATTAGTAAAAATCATAGGAGACAAGGTCAATCTCAGTGGGCTGAAAACGACGATGTGACTTATTTGGAGAATGAGCCGACCTTTTTCGGTAAGATCCCTGGGAGAGAATCTATTTCATTTTCTGTTCCAAGAAGAAGAATATAAATGCAAGGTAATAAAAAGAAAAGCATGATTCTTTGATGGACAGTACTTGCTGCTCAAAGAGTGGAGGAAGAATGAGGTGGATTTCAGTGATGAAGAGCTGAAAGTAGAATTATGGATCCAAATCCATATGTGCCCCTCCATTGGATATCGGCAGAGATATGAATGAAAGTGGGCAAAATCTTTGATGAAGTCTTGGATGTGAATGTCCTGGGAGCTGGGAACTTCAATGGAAGAATGGTTAGAATCTTAGTTTATTTTAATGTGATGGAGTCGATCCCTCAAGGGACAACTATAAAACTGGGAATAGAGGAACACTAGATAGATTTCAGGTTTGAGAACCTCTTGACTTTCTGTTTTTACTGTGGCCGAATAGGACAAAGTGATAGACAATATGAAATTAAAAAGTCTGATATTTAGAGGAACATGTTGAGAACTATGTAATTTTGGGAGTGACTTAGAGCGTTTTTTGGGGGGCATTTGAGTCTAGAGATAGAAAGTCTTCTAACCCCTCTTGTGGGAAAGTAAACTCTGAGCTCGGTAAAGCTAAAAATACTGCAGAAGGGGAAGGATGGCCTAGTGAATGAGTTGAGCTAAGTCTGATAAAGGCCTCTATAGGGAGAGGGATAAAGAAAGATGGGTAGAGCTAGAGGATCTATGCATAGTGGTGATGTGAGGGTAGATCAGAGGTTTACTGTAGTGGATGGTGAGAAAGGGGGGAGTAAAGCAAATGGCCCTGTTAGCATTCAACCTATGGAATTAGATGGCATTCAAAATAAGTGGTTAGAACTTATTAACATAGTAAATGTGCCTGTTTAGTAGTTAAAATCTAAGAATTCTGGTCATAAGAGTCAAAGAAATTCTGTCAGAATTACAAGAAGTAAAGTTTTAGAGTCTAAGCAGAATGATATAATTAATCAAGCTCAGGCTAGCTCAGATCAAACAGGTACCATTGTCTTGAAAAGAAAAGTAGCTTAAAGAAAAGACAGAGAGTAGTCAGTCTGAATCAGAGTAAAAAAAATCAAAAACAGGTTGTGGAAAATGCTAACTTAAAGGTGGAGGAAACCAGCCATAGCTGGTCCCAAGGTTTAAAATGAGAGTGCTGGTGTAAAATTGTAGAGGTTTAGGAGGATTATCTACAATTCCCCAGTTGAAGGAGAACCTTAGGGCCTACCTTCCTAATTTTTTTTTATCTGAAACAAAAAGAAAAAAAGCTTTTGTTAAATTGTTTGCAAAAACTTGCTTGCAGATAATAGATGAGAGTATGTGGATCCTGTGGGCTCAAGTGGAGGTCTTTTGTCTTGTTGGTCCCAGAAAACTGTTGGGGTAGAAATAGTAAATAATATTTTCAGTCTTGAAGTCTGTTTTAGGTGGAATTGAGAGAGTGAAAAAATGTGGGTTGCGTTTGTGTATGCTAGTGTTGATCCTATTGAGAGACAACATTAATGAGATTTATTAAGTGGGCATCATATAAGGTGGGGGGAAAAGTGGTTCGTAGTAGGTGATTTTAATGACATCTTAAACAATGAAGAAAAAATGGGAGGTCTGAAGAGAGGGAGGCTTGTTTTATATGTTTTAAAGAGTTTGGTTTGAAGTCGAATTTGGTTGACTACCCTAGTATAGGACACTCCTTCACTTGGTCTAATAATATATAGGGATTAGAGTGTGTGGAAGAAAAACTTGACAGATTCTTCTTGTTCTCTGAGTGGTTTCTTCATTTTCCAAATACTTATATTCTCCATTTTCCTCTAATTTCCTGTTATCATTGTCTATTACTTATGGAAAATGAGGCCTCAAGTAGAAAATAAAGAATAGATGCTATGATGGTAGATGGACCAAAGTAGATGGGTTTAAAGAGAGAATTAAAAGGGCTTGGATTTTAGAGGAGAATGGGACAGGGTTGTATAGTTTTCAAAGAAGGTTGAGAAATATCAATCTATGTTTGTTGGGGTGAGTGGTTAAGCAATCCTCAAACCTTATCCAGGTGATAAAGACTTGTAATGCTAAACTAAAGCTTCTAGGTTAGCATGGAGGGGTAAGGACTGAAATGCGTGGTTCTTTTGTAAGAGAAAAGTTCACCAAGCTTATAAACATGAAGAGTTGCTTTGGAAACAAAAAGCTAGAGTTGGGTGGCTTATGGAGGAGAATAGGAACACCAGATTCTTTCAAGCTTGTGTGAGGCAGATAACGAGTAGGAATAACTTAGAGAACTTGATCACAAGGTCTGGGGTGAAGGGTATGAATAAGGATGAAACGCTAAAGGAGGTGGTGGACTTTTTTGAACAGTTGTTTAGAACTCAGAATCCAGTCTTTGTTGAAGAAGTTTTGTAAGGGTTTCTAAAGTCAATTACTTAATAAATGAACAAGAATCTCACTAAGGTTGTAGATGAAGAAGAAATCAAGCAAAACTTATGGGAGATGAAGCCTAGTAAAGCACCGGGTATTGATGGCTTTTCACCTTTGTTCTTTCAGTCTTCTTAGGATATTATCCAGCTTGATTTGTGTGCTATTGTGTCTAATTTTTTTAGCTCTAGTTGCATTCCTAAGGCCACAAACCATACTGTCATCACTCTTATTCCAAAAATTAAAAATCCTCAAACAGTGAATGACAATAGGCCCATAGGTCTTTGCACCATCACTGACAGACAAAATAGCAAAAATATTGGCTAATAAAATTAAGTGTGTGTTGCATGTTTGTATTTCCCAGTCCCAAGTAACTTTTGTCTCTAATAGGCAGATATTGGATAATGTCATCATAGCAAATGAGTGCATCCATTCTTTAAATAGTAGGGAAAAAGGGAAG